CTATAAAGTACTTCATCTAGATACAGTTGTTTCTTCCAATAAATGAATTAAAATCAGACATTGTGATTACTACTATATTGTCAGATTTTATTTTATTGAAAGATAAATTTTGGTTTCCGAGTAATCTGAGTACGACTGCTGGTATGCAACTTAAAACTTACAGAGAAAACACTTGAAATGGCCTTATAGTTTATTATTTTACAAGTTTATTTCACAAAAAAAATCATTAAATAAACTACCTTTATTTGAAATTTTCGTCTTTTTCTTGAAAAAAAAACGGGGGATGGGATAAGGGGGGGCCCCTCTCGATAAAGTGCCGGGGGCCCTAGATTGTTTTGATGCGGCCCTGACCACTCCCTCTCCCTACTCCCGACTAAAAATCTCTCCCCTCTTCTTCCTTTTCTCTCCGGTCTTTCCCTTCCCTTCTCCCTCTCCCAGGTATATCTCCCTTTACTCTTCCTTCTCCTTTTCCAACCCTAATATCTAACTCCCTCTCTTTTCCTCATCCAGGACTTTCTCCCTCCCTTTTCCTCACCCAAGTATCCCCCTTTCTCCCTCTTCCTCCTCTCCCTAGCCTAGCATCTCACCCTCGCCTTCCTTCACCTTCTTCTCTCCATAGCTTAACGCCTCACCATCACACTCCCTCCTCCTCCTCATCCTCTCCCTGGCCTAGCACCGTCTCCCTCCTCCTCCACCTCACACACCATCATCCGGTTCAGTGAATGAGCCTCAGACCACCACCAAATGGAGGCGCGAGGTTGTCAGCCCCAAGAAAAGTTTATATTTTGTTTTCACTTTAGGTTTCGGTCGCCGCTACAGCCTCGATAGATACACCACAACCTGGCCACCGCCTCCAGTTTTCCTTTTTTATTTAGTATAATAAACACATTAGAATAAAATAAGACATCGTTTACAGGACAAAAACAGGCCCAAGACGGGGACCATAAAAGCTCGGAGCCGCAGTGACTGAACACGCGATGCCACCCTGTTCGCGAACAAGATTTAGGCTTACATAAACTATCAGAAGCACGCCCATAAATGCTACGTTTCCAAATTATAAGGCAGTAAAGCCGGCCTTATCTACCTCCGGGCCCCGCGGCCAACACGTACCCGTCTCTCTCTTATTGCTACATTCATCTGTTTCCAAATATCATTGTTCAGCCTAAAGTCACCGCACACCTCTCACACCCCTATAGTGTTGAATTCCATGAACTATAGATACAAGATACACACAATTATTGCCGCTATAAACAAACAAAAACGGCGGGCGTGAGAGAGGTCATGGTATCAGATCCTTCGACTGTGCAGTTGAAAACGAAAGAATAGATTCCGATCTGGCGGGACAATAATATGGCCGACCTTATGGCAGTAAATCTGTGGTGGACCGGACCCACTCGGCCAGACCCAGCCGGTCTACCTTACAGGTGCCACAGAAAAACAATTAAACGAATAACGTAACAGATACATCGATTATAAAAAAAAATACCTTGAACTTAATACGTCATTGTTTTAGTCTATATATATATATATATATATATATATATATATATATATATATATATATATATATATATATATATATATATATATATATATATATATATATATATATATAATACAAAACCATTCAGAAAACAGGCTAGGTTATAACAGTGGAATAATAATAATAATAATAATAATAATAATAATTTAAATATAAATAATAATTATTATTATTATTATAATTATAATAAAAATATCAACAACGAAAATAAAAATAACCAATTCAAAGAAGAATATGAATAAGTAGATGACATAAAGGAAACAAAAAAAAATTCCAAAGAGAGATATCATGAGAATAAGAATGAGAAAATGAAGAAGACTCGGACAAGGGAAGGAAAAAAGATTAAATAAAAGACAAAGCGAATGAGCATAAGAACAGGAATAAGAACAATACACATACTAATCACAGTGTTCACGTAACCAAGAAGAACCCGAACAAGAAGAGCAACACCAAGAACAAGAAGACCAAGAAGAACCCGAAGAACAAAAAGAACAAAAAGAACAAGAACAAGTAAAACAAGACCAGTAACAGCAAGAAGAACAAGAAAAAACAAGAACAAAAACAAGAAGAACAAGAAACAAAAAAAATTAGAAGGAGAAGAATCTAAGGAAATACGACAATTACAAAATGATATGAAGAAAAAAAAACGATAAAAAAGTAAAAAGAAAAGAAAATGAAAGAAAAGTTGGTAAAAAAATAATACAATAATCACAAACACATAAGCAAAACCGGATTTAAATCCTCTTCATATATTTTGTTCTTTCTCTGTTCTCTGGTCATTCGTGGAGTCCTACCCTCTCCCTCCCTTCTCTTCTGTCCCACAATACTCCCTTTTTCTTTTTATTCATTTCCTCGACCCCCAGCACCTCCCCTCTCTCACATTCCATCCTTCTCTTCCCTTTCCATCTTCCCCTTCTATCAATTGTTTCCCCTTTTCATTTTTTCTTCAATTCTTTACTATTGTTGTTTCCTCTCTCAAACTTTCCTGGTTTTCTCTCTCTCTCTCTCTCTCTCTCTCTCTCTCTCTCTGTTTCTCTCTCTCTTGTTTTCTGCTCTCTCTCTCTCTCTCTCTCTCTCTCTCTCTCTCTCTCTCTCTCTCTCTCCACTTTCACTCTACCATAAATATTTCACCTGTCCATTATTTTCTTTTTATCTATTTATTATTCACCTTCTTTCTTATTCTTCTAATCTTCTTCTCTTCTCCCTGTCTACCATTTATTTCCACTTGCTTCTCTCCCTTATCTCAATTATTTCTTCTCTCCCTTTCTCTTACTTTCTCATTTCCACCTCCACCTTCTTCCCATCCACCATATATTCCATCATTTCAAACCCCCATCCTCACTCCTTCCTACCCTCCCTCCTTCTCTCCTTCCTACGCAACCTCGATCTGTCCCTCCTACCCTCCCTCCCACCCTCCAAACCAACCCTCCTCCTCACCCTCCTTCCATACCTCCCCTTCCAAACCCACCCCCTATTCCCTCTCTCCTACAAAACCTTTATCTGTCCCTCCTACCTTCTCACACACCCTTCCTCTTTCCCACCCTCTTTTTCTCTCCCTCCCTCCCTCCCTTAGAGATCATTTACCGACACGTGGCAGCAATAATCACAGGTAGTGCCAATGTCATCAACACTAGATTATAAACTCCCTCGCTCGGTAAATCCCCTTCGGTAAATCCCATTTAGGGAGGGAGATTGTAATCCCTATTGTTGTGGGAGAACATTACGAGGTGCGCGTCCAGGCGGAAGATAGTGAGAGAGGGGCTATATGGGGAGTCGTTTTTGAGAGAGAGAGAGAGAGAGAGAGAGAGAGAGAGAGAGAGAGAGAGAGAGAGAGAGAGAGAGAGAGATTTTAGATACTATTAAGATGAAAAGGAGAGTTAGGGTAAATAAATGAAAGAATATATAATGGTAATGTAATGTTAAGATCTGAAATGAGAAAATTGTAATGAAAGAGAAAGACAAACACACAAAAATCTCTCTCTCTCTCTCTCTCTCCAGGATGGGGTCGGGTCGTCATAGAGGAGCCATCACCAGCGTCAGGTTGGTAATCTAATGAAGCCATCAGGTGACTCCAGGTAATCCCATGTTATGAGAGGCGGCTCTGTGGGAACCTGACCCTTCCCTCCCACCCCCCTCCTGCGCCACGGGGGACCCCTTGTTGTTGTCATGGGTCTGCTAAGTACCACTTTTCCTAGGTATTGCTTCTGCTTGGTATTGATTATGCTAAGTATTGATTAAGCTAGGTACTGCTTCTCCTAGGTACTGTGCCTGATGGACACTGTTTCTGATAGGTATACCTCTCCAACTAGGCACCTGCATTTATTAGGTAGTGGGAGAAATTTGTCTTGTTCCTGCTAGATAGTGTTAATAATGCCCTAAGGACCATTTTCCTTCCTCTGGTTTGATCTAGGTGTAGTTTGGTCTGGCCTGGGAGTCAACTGGTTTCGCCCACTCAAGAAAGTGCTCTGGTCTGATATAAACTCGTTGTTGATTATCCTTGTTCGATTCACCTTAATGATTACCAATATTTACATACCTGTATTATGTATAGTTTGGTCCCGTCTAGAAACTGTTCTCTGGGAATGTTCTGACCTGCCCTGAGATTTATCTGGTCTGAAAGTGGCCTTCAATGGTCTGGGAAAAGTCTGACCGGTTCGGGACCTTCCACAACTAATCTAGGAGTGGTCTGACCTGCCTCCGCGATGCCCCCGGCATAGTGCCTGTGACGACGGCATGTTTAACTTAATGGAATCGATCATGGTACCATGATGCAACCTGGTGGTGGTGAGGATGGATAGGGGATAGTGGTGATGGTGGTGGTGGGGATACATGTGGCGGTAATGGTGATGTGGTTGGTGGTTGGGATAGTGGTAATGGTAGTGGTGTTTGGGGATGGTGGTGGGGGTGGTGGTAATATAGGTGGTAGTGATATAGGTGGTGGTGGGGATGTTGGTGGTGCAGGTGGTGATGGGGGTGGTGGAGATGCAGGTGGTGGTGAGGATAGTGGTGGTGGGGTAGTGAAGAGGATGATGGTGATGCAGGTGGTGATGGTGGTATGTGGAGTTTGTCATTGTGTTAGGGGTAGAGGTGGTGGGGTGGGGTGGTATTGGTGGGGATGTGGGTGGTGGGGGTCCTCCTCTCACCTGTGTCAGTCACCCCACCAGCATCATTCACCTCTCTCTTGCTGTATAGAGATGTATTGCGATTCTTTACTCTTTCTCTTCCTCCTCCCCTCTCTTTTTCTGTCTCTGTTATTATCATTATTTCTATCTGTCTCTTTCATATTCTGTCTATGGCTGCAGACCCCCGCTAAGGGCCCACACTATCCGTAGGTTCGTACTTTTCCTTGTACTCTCACCAAATCCGTACTCATCTTGGATCCGTATTCATTAGTTAACCCCCAATAAGCCCGTCATACCCTTCCTATTCCCGTACTGTGGCTTGGGTATGTACTCACCTTTGCTGGACTTGGTGAAGGACTGTGTGAGGGCGCGGGAGAAGTGCTCATCGACAGCGGTGGCCAGATCCCCGCTGAAGTACGTCAACACTACACAGTTGGCGGAGATGTAGTGGGCGTCCGCGTGTTGCTGCTCCCCCTGGCGATGATACTACAGTCAGGCTCACTCCTGGGTGTACTGCATGACGGTGAAATGTGAGGGAGAGGGAGGAGGGCTGTGAGGGAGGAGGAGGAGGCTGTGAGGGAGGAGGAGGAGGAGGGCTGTGAGGGAGGAGGAGGGCTGTGAAAGATGTAGTGGTTATGAGGGAGGAGGAGGGCTGTGAAGGAGGAGAGCGGTTGTGAGGGAAGAGGGCAGTTGTGAGGGAGAGGGAAGGCTGTAAGGGGGAGGGATGTTGGGAGGGAGTAGAGATATTTCAGTTCATAGAAGGGAGAAAGAAAGATGGTCTGGCTAAACTTTGTCGTCATGAACAAATGGGGGGGTAGAGACAAATTATCTGGCTATATCCAAAGAAAGTGAGTCCAATAAGCAAGGCTGCCCGTTAGAGACAGTGTGGATGCAGTACAATGTATAGTAAACCTTCGCGACACAAGGAGGCAGCATGGCCGGTGCTGCTCTCGACTGCATTAACTTCCCCAAGTTGTTAATTTACAGGTGTGTAAACCGGAAGCGCCCGGGAATCGAATTATCGACCCCTGGAACAGGAGTCGAGGGCTGTATCCAATCGACCGCCGCCTCTGTATTACTTGGGGATAAAATAGAGGGAAGGGGTGAAGAGACTGGCTATACTGCACGGTGGGGAGGGGAGGATGGAAGACAGATGTAGCCTGTTTATATTGCTTGGGGAAGGGGGGGGCACAATCTGACTATACCACTCGGGAGTATAATGGGAGGGAGGGGCTAAGGGCTGGAGGGTATAGAACATGTGTACTGATGGTAGACAAGCACAACACTCACCCTGGCTACACTGTGCTCAAGAAATATTACTTGTGTTTAATTACGACAAATGGTAATGAAAGATATGGTGATGATCTTAACTACCGACTTTCTCCTAAACTGTAACAATTCTTTAATTCAAAGTTATGTCAAAGTCACAATAATGACTTAATCTACATTAGATTTAACATGTAATATATTATAGTTAATGCCATGGTTATAATTCACTCAATAAACCTTAATTTTTAATATTATATTGACGTATGAAAGACTGAAGAAAAGAAAGAGAGAGAGAGAGAGAGAGAGAGAGAGAGAGAGAGAGAGAGAGAGAGAGAGAGGGGGGTGAGTAAATGAACATCAAAGAGATGGACTAATAAGGGTCAGAAGGTGTAACTCCCTGTGCTACACAGTGGCTGTACACACACACACACTAACCTTCTCATCAGTCTTGGAAGAGTGAGACACAGGTTGCTGTTGCTGCTGTTGCTGTGATTGCTGCTGTTGTTGCGCCTGTTGCTGCTGTGAGGCTACTGGTGAGGAACACACCCCGGCGTGAGTGGCAGCAGACACAGCAGCGGCAGCAGTAGGAGCTGGTGGCGCTGACGCTGCTGCTGCCGCTGCTGCTACTGCTGCAGCTGCTGCACCAGATTGCGGGTTGGGCAGGGGTGCTGTAGAGGTGCTAGTAGAGGCGGCTGCAGCGGCTGCGGCGAACTGCTGCTGCTGCTGTTGCTGCTGCTGCAGGTCCGGCGTGGGTGGTTGTGACGACCCTCCTGCACCAGCGTCCTGTAGTCGGTACTTCTGGGGGAGACAACCCCGTGTTATACTGGTATACTCATACTAGCACACTGGCATACTGGTATACTCATACTGGCATACTGGCATACTGGTATACCCTGGCATACTGGCATACTGGCATACTATAGTATACTGGCATTCTGGTATACTCATACTGGCATACTAGCATACTAGTATACTAGCATATTAGCATACTAATATACTCATATTGGTATACTAGTATACTAGCATACTGGTATACTCATGCTGGCATACTAGCATATATATACTCATATTGGCAAACTATTCTATTATAGCATACTGGTATACTCATACTGGCATATTAGCATACTAGTATACTAGTATACTAGCATACTGGTATACTCATGCTGGCATACTAGCATACTAATATACTCATATTGGCAAACTAACATTCTATTATACTAGCATACTAGTATACTAGCATACTGGTATACTCATACTGACATACTAGCATACTGGTATACTCAAAATGGTATACTTTTTGATGGTATACTAATGTACTTGTGTCCAATAATAAAGGAATACTCTTAGGTTTCGCTCCATTACCACTAAATGGTAAAGGGATTTACCTAATATAACAAGTTTCTCCACTACTGTGGGTGAGGTGTAGCTCGTCTGGGGTGCACGGCGGTGCTCTGACGTGTTCATATGTAGAATGAGCGAGGAAGGGTGTCAAGAAAAATTAACTCGTCCCTCCTTCAAGTGGAAACAACTCTCGCTTCCTGACCTGATATTCGCTGGCTCACGTTCGTGGCACCCGAGTCCACCACCGAGCTATGAATGGTTCCTAATTTTACCGCTGGGGAAGTGATAGTAGTCGAGTACAGTGCCGACTATAATGCCTCCCTGTGTGCTCAAGAGGTTATGTTCGCGCTCTCTCAAACATGTCCTCAGGCCTATGGCACCCACTTGTATAGTCTCACCCTAAAGTTCGTTAACTCTCCCAGCCAGCTATTGCTGCACCGCCTGCTTCAGATGTATGAACCTGAGTTTGTTACTTCGAATCTGTAGATTCATTTGTATCAGTTTTATGTTCTGGTTGGTACTGAGACAGTTTCAAACATCTGAAGCAGGCAGTGTAGCAATAGCTGGCTGGGAGAGTTCACGAACTTTAGGGTGAGACTACTTCGGGAACCGAACTAAAGTTAATTTCTACAAACATTAACAGACGATAAGAGAGGATGTTGTACTGTGAAACATCCTTATAGGGAGTTGATGTCTGAGGAAGACTCATACTGCTGGTAGAAATTTATACTGGTGGCGATGTAATAGTTCGTTGAACCTCATTTACTTATAAGTGAGTGTTCCGGGACATATCACTGTACGTAATTTATCCCTGGATCTTGACCTAGTGTACGTGATTATCTTGTGAATGTTTCATTTTTGTACGTGAACATCCAAGGAATCTTAAATCTTTGTGCGTGAATAGACTACAAACCCGATGATTTTTAGCTTGCGCTAAACACATAAATTCAATTCTTCACAGTTGATGGGCTGATTCTTTACCTGAGTGAGGCATGAGCGGCCTCTACACCCCATAGTTCATTCCCAACTTTTCCTCTCCGTTAATTAGTCTTCTGTTGAGAAAAGGTTTCGGAAATTCATTCTCAATAACTTCACCTCTCGCCCTTGAACAACCATGAACAGACACAATAACAGATTTTCGGGCGTTCCTGTTGGGTCATCGTCACCTAAATCTCGTCAGGGCGACCATCCCCAGTTCAGAAGTAGAACCAGTTCACTGTGGAGATGGAGTAGAGGCACAAGCTGTTCGGATACACCTGGCAAACGACAGTCTTGTAGTATACAATATCTATAAACCGCCTACCAAACGACTAGAAGACGGTGAACTACTGACACAAGCAACACAGGAACTTGTGCTCATTGCTGGGGACTTCAATGCCCACCATCCATTGATCAATTCGACCACAAGAATGAACCTGGATGGTCGTCACCTAGTGGAACTGCTGACAGATGTTCCAGAAATAACGCTCATTAATACTGGGGAACCAACACACATACTGGGAAGAACATTGGACCTCACATTCATCTCCACTGAGCTCGTTCCAGGAGCTCAGTGGGAGATAGATGATGAACTGACCAGTGACCACTTTGCAACGACAACTACTTTGAGAATGGAACTACTCCCTCCTCCCCCACGTCAGCCACCCAGATGGAATACCAAGAAAGCAAATTGGAAATTATATCGAGATGAACTCCAAAAATGGTTTTCGAACTATGAACCAGCAGAAGATATTGACCAACTAAACCAGGACCTTACTGGTGCCATACAACAAGCAGCAGAGGAAGCAATACCAAAAACAAACCCTACAAATAGACACCACAAAGACAACTGGTTCTACAATGACGAAGTGAGAGAACAGAATCACAGAATCAACACATTCAGAAGACATCTCCGACAATACCCTTCCCCTGAGGGAGTGAAACTCTTGAGAGCTGCTGTTCAACATGCTCGTCAAATTACTCAGAAAATTAGGGAAGACAAATGGCTCGAGTGGTGCGCAACCTTTAATGCACACACCAGCCTGAGTGAACTCTGGAGAAAACTCAGGATAGCAACAGGAAAATTGCCCAGATCTCCAGCCCACCCCCAGCCACTACAGGAAGCAAATCGCTTGGCAGAGCACTTTGCAGAACGCTCGTCATCAGCTCAACTACCTCCTGAAATAAGACTTCATCTACAGCAAGTACAACTGGAGAGAGAAGTAGTAGTCAGACATGCAATTGAACAAGCTGACACTACAGACTGTCTGTTTACTATAGACGAAATCAGAAGGGCCAGGAAAACAAGCAAAGACACCGCTCCTGGCAGTGATGGTATAACCTATTCATTGCTCAGCAATGCAGGACTTGCTGGTGAACTTGCTCTCATAACAGTTATAAACGCATCATGGTCAGCAGGCAAACTCCCGTCAGCTTGGAAAGGAGCAAACATTGTTCCTATTCCCAAACCCAATGATCCCCCGAATTTCAGACCAATATCACTAACAGCATGCATCGGCAAAACCGCCGAAAGGATGGTCCTTACACGACTCCTCTGGAAAATTGGACCACTTCACCACAATATCTTTGGATTCACCAAAGGTCTCAGCACTGCACACAGTTTGGCCACTCTCCTGGGATCGATTGGTCAAAATAAGGCAATCGTAGTATTCCTTGATCTAGAGAAAGCATTTGAGCTGGCAAATGCACAGGCCATTGTAACCACTCTGGCCCGGAAAGGCGTCAAAGGATACCTACTGGCTTGGATTGCTGACTATCTCCAAAACAGAACAGCAAGAGTTACTTGTCAAGGACAAGTCTCAGGTCAGCAAAGACTGGAAAATGGCACACCACAAGGAGGAGTTCTTAGTCCAACTCTCTTCAACATCCTCATGGAAAACTTGTGTCGGCTCCCCTTTCAGGAGGGTACCAGACTGCTGTGCTATGCTGACGACTTAGCACTGATAGTAAAAGGCAGAAACCAAATCGGCAAAGTCCAAAGAGCACTAGACCTCATCAGTGAAGAATGTATGAGGCTCGGGCTCAAGATATCAATCCCCAAATCGAAAGCCATGAGGTTTGGACACAATGAGCCGGTGACACAACTTCAAATACAAGGTATTGCCCTACAATGGGTCAATGTATACAAATACCTGGGCATCTGGATTGACAAACGCCTCAAATTTGACACTGAGATAAACTATCTAAGAGACCGAATAGGCAAGAGAGTCAACATGATGAGAGCCATGACAGGACCCAAGGTGGGTGCGGGACATGTAGTCCTAAGAACGCTATATATACACGCCATTCGATCATTAACAGACTATGCGACACCGGCTCTTAACACACTGTCTGAGGGGCAGTGGGCGAAATTAGAAGTTGCCCAGAATAACGCTATGAGAGCCATTGTCAAGGCACCTATGTGGACAAAAATTGAAAACTTACACATGGAGACAGGTCTCACATCTCTCCAAACCAGAGCGGAACGATTAACAGCGTGCTTTGCAACAAAACTGATTACCAGGGCTCGGGAGGGTGACATCAAGAATGGACTCTTACGAGCACTGAACCTTAACAGAGATGTCTTTAACAAGAAAACATGGCTATTGTGCGCAGCTGACGCTGTAAATCGACTGAAATTGAAAGACACAATCCTCAGCAAAGGATCTGATACAATGAGTCCAGACTATGGCACCCCAGCACCGTGGGGGTCCCCGCCAGCAGTTTTCAACATTCTACAAACTGGGACAAGAAAGGCTGACTGTAACCCACATGAGCTCCCACAGATAGCAGAGAGAAACATGAAGGCTCTAACACCTCACAATAGTTCAGTGTATTACACAGACGGTTCTGTAGAGACCACCAGTACGAAGGCAGGAGCAGCCTTCACTATAGAAGGAGGTAACACGTCCCTTTGGAAAACTTCAGATGGATGCTCTACTTTGCAAATTGAGCTAGCTGCCATACTTGAAGCCCTAAGACACGCTTCCGTAAACAGTCAACAAGGCATTGTAATACACACTGACTCGCGATGTGCTATTGAAGCACTACAATGCAGAAAGCATAGAGACAACATTCATCTCAGAACATCCGTTATTGGACTACTGCAAGGTTTAAAACTACAAGATCGGCAAGTTATCATTAACTGGGTGCCCAGTCATATCGGAATCCCAGGGAATGAACGAGCTGATGCTGCTGCCAAGGCTGCGTTAGAACAGTGAAACAATGAGATGAACATCCCGCCCAGTCAGGAGCAGATAAAGAAGACAACAATAACACGAACCGCCCAGTGGAAAATAGAGAAACACAGAAGGTTAACACCAGTATCACGATCGGCCAGGTGGTACTATCTGGTCACGAACTATGAGAGACCACCACTCATGAAGAATATAACAAGAAGGGAAGAAGTCAAATTCCACCGACTGAGACTGGGATACCCATGCATTTGGGAAATAATTGTAACAACACCAGCAGAGCAG